AGGACAGTATTTGCACCGCGCTCGGCCGCTCAGCCGGGTCCGGATGGATGAGCGCCGAGATGAGGGCCTTGGCCTCGTTCGAAACCGGGGCCGTGGCGAACGGCGGGAAGGCAAGCGGCGTTGGCGGCATGGTCCCGATGAGCACAATGTACATGATGATGCCAAACGACCAGATGTCGACAGCCTCCGAGTATGCCGTCGAGCTCTGCCGCCTGCCCAATGATGTTGGCGGTGACGAGCCGGCCACCGGCGACGCTGCTGCCGACCAGTTAAGGAGCTCCGGTGCGGCAAACGACCGCGTCCCGACCGGCGTCGTCATGGCCGAGGTGAGAAAGGTGGAGAGGCCAAAGTCAGAGATCTTGACGACGTAGCCCTCGAGGCATCCACCAGGCAACGAGCCCGGGACGAGATCGGTGCCCTCGGGCACCGACACCAGCAGCACGTTGGACGGCTTGAGGTCGCGGTGACAGATCGAGTGGCCGTGGAGCCAGGCGAGAGTGCCGGCGAGGGTGCCGAGCAGTGCACGGGCGTCACCCTCGGTAAACCGCGAGCCTGGGCGCGAGCCGAGAAAGTCGAGCAGATCTCCACCATCCATGTACTCCATCACAATGTATATCTTCTTCTTGGTCTCAAAGTAGTCGAGGAGGGTGACGCAGTGCGGGTGGCGCGAGACGGCAATCTGGATAAGCGCCTCACGTCGGAGGGCATCGATCTCGTCTCGAGCCAGCTGGCGAGGATATGTCTTGGAAATGACCTTCACTGCCACCTGCACTCCGTCTTTCAGCCGAATCGCGGCGTAGATGGCTCGGTTCTGCCGAGCAGAGGCATTGACTCGCGACTCGAGCGCGTACTGCTCCGCAAACGATCGCCCCGGCGGATACCGCGCGTACAGCGCCTTCTTCATCCTTGCCTCTACGTCTGGCGATGCCGGTGCCCGCAGCATCTCCTCGATCTCTTCATCTCGCCAGTCACTCTGCCCGCTTCCACCACGTTCGCCATCGCTCCCGCCAGCTCCTGCGCCTCCACTAGCTCCTGCGCCTCCACTAGCTCCTGCGCCTCCACTAGCTCCTGCGCCTCTCTCATCACCTGCACCGCCGTCAAGTTCGGGCAGGACAATGGCCGGCGGCCGGACGCGGAGGTGCTCGGGCCGAGTTGCCATGGCGAAGACGCCAAAGTCCGAGTGTAGGCGTGAGTGAGTGAGCTGCCTCGCCGTTGCTCGTCCCTCGCTCTTGACCTCGCCTCGCCTGCTGAGGGAGTCAATTCGAGCTCTTTCCGCTGCCACGCCCCGCCCCCCCGGGCTGTGGTCCCTCTCGGGACAATTTTTTTCTGCGCGCACCCCCCCCCCCCTCCCCCCCCCCCCACTCCCCCACTCCCCCACTCCATCGTTCTATTCGGCCGCATGCCACCGCCCAATTCGCCGCAGGCGAACACCTAAAAACGCCGTAAAGGTCACTCTTTCTTTACCCTCTTTCCTCTTTGCCACCAGCTACTCTCCACG